GTTAAAAAGCCCGATCATTTTGCGTTTTGGGGATAAATTTTTGTTAAGACCAGTCCGACCATTTGCTTAGATTACAGCTATGCGCTCATGTGCTATAGCCCTGCGGCAGCGATCCGCGGGCTATAGTACTAGAGCTATACTAGAGCTACACTAGTGACTACCAGGGTACGTGAGAGACAGCACGATACACAAAACAAAACAACGGAAACACATGATAATTATACCGCAACTGTGCTCTCATGCATAACTCAAACGTACATATATTGTTCATGCAGATATTCTGTACTGTAAACACAGTTGTGAAGAAATTATAGAAATTGTCCGTGTTTGTTAACCGGTTTATTTTTGTACAGATAAAAACTACCTGTGTTTATACTCACCATGTTGGATTGGGCATTGTGGGATTGAAGTGTCAGCCAGTGGTAATTATAGAGGGCGCGACTCGCTGATTAGCCAATGGTGCGTGCGCACCACGCATAGAAATATTTAGAGACACTACTATATTATTTCAAGAGTACATAATAGATCTTTATTATCAAAAGTAGATAATAGGGAATTCCATATTATCTACTTCTGCTAGTATGTACTCTTGATTATTTCTATGGCACCCCTATACATTACAACCAGGGGTGAATAATGACAAATTTGTCATTCACCTAGCTCTGATACAACTCACATACAGTTAATTATAAGTTATAACAGTTATTATATTATTCAGTAATGCGACTGAGCTGTAAACGCATTTACATTTAAAAAGGTAGACTAAAAATAGTAACATTTATTATTATGTGCTATTATATATATACAACTCAGTGGTGGTGCACATGGAGTATCGTAATGAATATATCATATCATTACAAAGTGAAATTTTGATAGAAGATTTTTATTTCAAAATAGTCTTGAATATAAATATAATTAAAAATAAAGTGATTGAATTAAATTGAATTATGCCCTCAGTTTTAACTATACAATTTCATCAAAATACTGAGTTACTGGCAGATAGATGGCAAGCCTTGCTGTTGCACTGTTCGAGGCTCGAACAGAACGTTTATAAAGTAAACTGAAAACTGCATGCATGGACTCGTTCTAAGTGGTAATTAAAGAAATCCCTTTCACGCTCTGTGTCTATAGTCTTATACACACCTCCGTCATCATCCATTTCAACCACTCATTTCCGCTAGCTCTGCATTGCGTTCTCTATAACATTTTCGTCCTTCTCTCCAATACTCTTCTACGCCTCCACTCTCTTTACCCAACTAGCTATGTACTCTTTATTTAAGATGTATAATTTACATGAAAAAATATTTCTTATGGTATGTATACTAGACAAGCACATATGTGTGTGTACGCGCGCGCGCGTGCGTGTGTGTGTGTGTGTGTGTGTGTGTGTGTGTGTGTGTGCGCGCGCGCGTGTGCGTGCGTGCGTGCAGTCAAACCTGTGTTCTGCGGTCTGCCGTGCCGTGGTCTGTGTGTCGTGTGCGACGCGATAGGCATCCGCACCCGGGGGGCAAGCGAGGTGGCTTTGTGAGCTGTGTGATGTGGTGGTGTGGGGTGGGTGGTCTTTTCCCCCACTGTACTGTCAATCGTGGCTAGGTGGATGCGTGTGTGTTTGTGTTTGTGTTTGCTGTGTGCTGTTTGTGTATCGCATGTGCGCTGTGCGTATGTCGGCTCGTGTGAGGTGTGTGTGTTATTTAAACCAAAAGCTACATGCAGTGGCGGCGCCGTCGCGTGTGAAGCCGCCATGCACATTGGTGTGTTGTGGTCGGTGGGTGTGCGCGCGCCTGCTGCGCCGCCTGTTGTGTTGTGGGTGTTATGTATTGTGTGACCGGCGAGCTCGGCCCACTTAGTGGTGTGCTGATGTTGTGAGTGTGGCTCGGCGGTAGAGGTTCGTCGGTGGCGCGCCTGGGCCAGCTCTCGTGTGCTGGCTGTGTGTCTTGTTGCGTATGTGTGCCGTATGTGTGATTTGTTGTTCGTGAGTAAGCGAGCTCACTGTGAGTGGTTGAACACGCGCGCGCGCCACGGCGATCTGTGCGGGGTGGGATTAGGCACGCACCGTGACTGTGTGAACGACCACAGCTAAGTCCGAATCCGTGGACCAGCCCCGTCGTCGGTGTGCTGTTGGATGCACGGTGTCGAGCTTGGACCTTCCGTGAGGGGGTGTGTGGTGTTGGTGGTGCGGGTGTTCGATGCACGCGGCCGACCACGCCAGCCTAAGAGCATCTCACAGATTTTGCCGCTGCGGTGGGTGTGGTGGGGGGAAGTCACGTACATCGGCGAGTTTTGCTCACCTGCGTATTGCTTATGTTCTATTTGAGTCTTTGAAACTGTCTCGTCGGGTTACGTCTGCGTTGGTGCGGGGTGTGGGCGGGGTGTTTGTGCGCACGTCGGAGATCGAGAAATAAAGAGTGTGAACGAGGAAGGGAAGAGCGAGAGGAACTTGCGTGTTATTCATGCCGGCTATTTCATTCATTGCCGGCTCTGCGAGATATTTCGTCATGTAGTCGTTCTAGCTACGCTTCACATGAACAATATTACAACGCGACATTCTATAATCAAAGTCTTTGTCGATGTTACTGACCGGTAGAGGGCGCTCATTTATCTCGATCAGTACTGAGACGGTGAGTATAAAACCAATACTTCGTCAACATGTGTCGAGAATTGGTAACATCGTGCGCATTTCATTGCTGCTGGATTTCTTTAACCAAATACTGACTGTTTTCGTTATTTAAATTTCTATACGGGCATTGGCGAAAGAGAGAGTTACAGAGAGAAAGAGAGAGAGAGAGAGAGACGGAGAGAGAGATTGAGAGAAAAAGAGAGAGAGATACGAGCAAGAGAGAGAGGGGGAGGTTATGGTAGAGAGTGAGAGAGAGGGAAAATACTGAGAAAGAAAGGAAGAGAGTGATTGTTAAGGTTAGAGAGTGAGAGAGAGAGAGAGAGCGGGAGACTGAGAAAGAAAGGAAGAGAGAGCGCGTGCGAAACAAGGTGATAGCAAGAGTGAGAGAGAGAGCGAGAGAGAGAGAGAGAGAGAGAGAGAGAAGGAGAAAGAGAATCAATGATGCAATGGGCGAGATACAGGGGAAGAGAGAGAGCGGAGGAAGGGAGAGACGTAGAGTATTCCCTTACGGAGCCCACTGCGTCAACTATACGCACTAGTAATGATGAATGTTTACGGTAAGCGCGAGCATGCAGGCATAGAGGAGTTCAGTAGACCGTGTCGCTGAGCCTTCTCTCCCTCTACGCTTTCATCGCTGTTTATTACCTGTTGCCTCCACACTAGTAAGTCACCCAGCCAGTACGAGCACATACGGTGCGTCTGTTTGGCGCGCACTCGCGCGTAACACACATACACGCACATACACGCACATACAGACGCGGTCCTCTCCGAGACTCGATTCTTCTTCGCGTCCAACGAGAGACCGTTTGTTAATCACGCTAACAGCTAGAGCGCCGATTCACACCCTAGTGCGTGGTAGTGACAGACGCACACACGCACACACGCGCGCGCACTAGCTGGACAGCACTGACCTATTTCGGCAGCAGACTCTTCACGGAGGTCAGTACCGTAGCGCGTTAACTCCGGCAGTGGTCAGCGAGCACGCGGACGTCAACGCACGACGGAGTCCTGTCGCCACCTCTCCTGACACGCCGAGTGTGTGCTGGTTCCTCTCCTGACACGCCGAGTGTGTGCTGGTTCCTCTCTTGACACGCCGAGTGTGCGCTGGTTCCTCTCCTGACACACGCCGAGTGTGTGCTGGTTCCTCTGGAACAGCCTAGAGACACCGCCGCTTGACCAAGCAAGTGAGAGAGTAGATGCTAGTGAGGTCGGAAGAGAAAGAGCAACACCTAGAGGAAGCAGGAGGAGGCGGGAGACGGACAGGACGATAGAGAAGGTAAGATACATAGCGGACGCGTGGGGAGGCGGGAGACGTGTATCTTGTATCTTGTATCTTGGTACCCTCTCTTGTATTTCACAAGGCACTCGATTCTACGAGGTGCGGGGATTATCTGGAGAAAAGGAGATTAATGCCGCCTCTAGTTCTCTAGATGTTAGTGTTTCTAGTCACCAGTATTTTCCGTACATAATCTAACTCTGGTTTCAGTAACCTGTGGTTGTCTCCTGTCCAGTTTTCTATTCGTTGTTCCTCCTTATATCTATTATAGCTATTACATTTATATAAATGTTCCATGTCTTCTTTTATATTATTAGTACATCTATTACCCATATTGTCATTAAAGTTATTTTTAAAGTAGCCTTTGAGATCAATCATACAAGTTTTACACTTAAATGCAAAACACGAATCAGTGAATGATAATTTTTTCATATAATTTTTCAAACCGTATGTTTCGATGTTTATCATGTTCATTTTTGTTTTATCTCTAGTTTTCAATTTGTCTCTTTTAATTACTCTTTTTAAGATGGCATCTTTGACTTGTTTTTTTCCAGGTTCTTTTTGGTTTTAATCCTATGGCTGTAAATGACATTTCCAATTTATACTCTTCTAGAATCTTCTAAAATTTTATTTCCCCAATTTCTTTCATCCTCTTTGATTTGCTGTATAAATACTCTCTTCATTAATCTATTGTTATCTAGCTTAACTATGTATTGTAGTTGCATGAGTTTTTTGTATCCTATTTTATCAACTATTGGTAAAATTCCTAACTCTATCCTTAGTGCTTCAAGTGGTGTTTTACTATGGGCTTTTATTATTTTGCGCAGGCACTCATTTTGGAAATCCTCTAACATTTTAAATTCTTCCTTAGTTACGTTTGTCCATGTTTCACTATTATTTAAGAAGGAAGGTAAGACTGTGCATTCATATAGTTTCACTCTTGCTTCTATAGTATGCTTTCCATAATTTTGCTCTTCTGTCCCTGATACTATTTCCCTCATCATGAACCTACATTTTTCAGTTCGGACTGTTATCATGTCCTTAAACTCTTTTTTATCATTAATTAAATCCCCTAGATATGAATATTTGGTGCATTTTTTGATTACTTGGTTACCTAATAATATCTCTTTTTCTATCGTTTCTTTGTTTGCGAATTTTATAACCATTGTGTTTGTTTTGTTTATATTAAATTCTAATCTTTTTTGTTCTGCTAATCTGTGGCATGACTGAGCGATTTTTGTAACTGTTTCCTGATCTCCAATTTCTAGGATTGTATATAGGATCGTCCATCGTCCATATATAGTAAGGGTCCGATTTCTATGCTGTTGCCATACATGTATCCAGCTTTGTTGAGGTTATTTAGGTGATCCAGAGTCATACAGCATAGGACTGGTCCTAATATTGTTCCTTGTCTAACTATTTCTTTTGTGATGAAATTTTCTGTTTTTCATACTGGTGTTTTTATGTTAAAATAATTGCCTTTTCATTCATTTTGTATATTATCTCTCAGCTCTTAATCCTTTAAACCATAATTCCACCAATGCATCTTTTAGCCATAAGCTATCGAAACATTTTTGAATATCCCCAAATAGTATAGTGATGTCTTTCTTTTGTTCCCGGTGTTTGTCAATAATCCCCCTTAGTACGAATAGGTGGTCAGTTGTGCTGTATCCCTTCGTCCCCCCACATTGATTTTGACACGTATCCATGCTTTTTTGTTTGCGTTTCCAGATTAATTTTTCAACTATTTTACTTAGGACATTAGTTAGAAAAATTCCTCGCATATTTTTTAGGTAACTCAACGCTCCTTTTCCTTTATAAACGGTTTTTATTGACATTTTATGCCATTGTGTTGGTATTGTTGCACCCTGAAGTAGTGAGTTTACTATTGTTTTTAGCGCTTTGCTCATATCTCTTCCTCTATCGATCATTAATTCATAGACCATCCCATGATTATCTCTTGCTTTATTGCCCTTTAGATCATGGATTACTTGTTTAATTTCGTTGTCGTTTATTTCCTCTTAATTAATTCTATTAATTATGATTCTTATTTTTTTAAAGGTTTTTTCAACTGATTCATAAATTCTGCGATCTTCCTCATTCTTTATAGGTTTTTCTTTTAGTAGCTCTTCGAAATATTCTACGTATTCTTGTTTAATTTGATCTGTCTTCTCTACCATTACGTTTGATAAACTTCTCTTTATGACACTTGATGCTTTACTTTCTTTACTATAGGTAATAGCCTTTTTCTTATTTTCCAAAATCCACTTGAGTTTATGTCCTCTTGTTTCTTCAGGTCATCTAGTTGTTTATAGAGCTTGGTCTTTCGTTCCTTTTGTTGTTGTATTCCTATTCGATTATTTGTCAGTCTTATTCTTTCACTTGTCATATTATATAATATTGCTCATTTGGTTATTCTTGTCTTGTTTGGCTTTACTCAAGATTTTTTTTTAACGTCGCTTATATATATAATATAAAATATATATATATATATTTCCCCTCTCTCGCTCTCTCGCTCTCTCTCTCTCTCTCTCTCTCTCTCTCTCTCTCTCTCTCTCTCTCTCTCTCTCTCTCTCTCTCTCTCTCAGCTCTCTGTCACTCTCTCTCTCTCTCGGCATGCTATAGGGTGCGCACCTATTCCGTGACTCCGCACATTCGGCTACCGATCCTCGACACAAGCCACCATGTTGGAGAGAAACACCTTCTCGATTGCCGACTACGTCGTGTTCGGCCTCACGCTGGCCGTGTCCGCCTGCATCGGTCTCTACTACGGCTGTACGGGAGGCAAGCAGCGAACGACGAGCGAGTTTCTGATGGCCGACCGCAACATGGCGTGGGCGCCGGTGACGATGTCGCTGCTAGCTAGCTTCATGTCGGCGATCACGCTGCTGGGGACGCCCGCGGAGGTGTACACGTACGGCACGCATTACTGGATGATTGTTCTCAGCTACTTCATCGTCATCCCCGTCAGCGCACACTGCTTCATACCGATCTTCTTCCGGCTGAGGCTGACAAGCACGTATGAGGTATGTGTGTGTGTCCAGCATCCATGCAGGGTGTGTGTGTGTGTGTGTGTGTGTGTGTGTGTGTGTGTG